CCTGGTTTGGTCCTTGGCTGTGCCTGGCTGGGGTGTGGGGGAGCAGCAGAGAGAGAGAAGCAAATGCTGGCTGGAATAGACAGGCAGGGGAGGAAAGCAGGAGTTGGGGTTAGAGAGGTCGTGGGGGTTAACCTGGTCGGGCCTCTGGGCACAGGAGGGTGTTGAACAGATCGGGGATGTGGATGAGCTCGTCTACGATCAAAGGATCACAGACGTGGTGGCGGGGAGAGGACAGGCGGGGAGGCTCGTGTAGCCCTTATTTAATTTATTGTTGTTTAAATTTTTGATATAGAGCACATGTGCCCAGAAGAGAGAGAAAGAGAGACAGAGAGAGGGAGAGAGAGAGATAAAGTGAAAAGATAAGCTGCCAGGTCCAAGAGTTGAACCACAGTTGGCCATTGGCCATGTGGGATCCTGCTGGCCCCAGGATCTAGGCTTTTACTTATTTATTTATTTGTATTATTAATTTATTATTATTATTATTATTATTTTAGGTTGGCTATCAGGCATGTGTTCTAGCCAGAGAGAGACAGAGAGAGAGAAAGTGAGAAAACAAGCCACAAGTCTGGGACTCAAACTGTGGTCAGGCATGTGGGAATCCAGCGCCTCAACCACCATGCCACCTACTGGCCCCTGCATCTAGGTTTTAAGTGCACATATAATTCAGTGGAGGAGACAAATATGGACAGAAAAAATAAACTTAGAAGTGGGTGTGCGGAATTTCCTGAGTGTGGCTGACCGAGGCCACAGGTATGCAGGATTTCCTGGAGGCCAGGCCAGGTTAGAGCCTTGATTCTCAGAGAATCACCTGGGTCAACAGCATCGCCTTCCTTGGGATCCCCTTAGAAATGCACATTCTTGACCAACCTAACCAGCAGCTCTGGGGCTGAGGCTCAGCATCTGTTTTACAAGGTCCTGTGAGTACAAGCTCAGTGCGAGACCTCTGGGTTAGAGTCCTTCATGGAAGGGCTTGGGGCTAGGGGCATAGGTCACTGAGGGAGTCTCACACATCATTTTTGGGCCCCATGACTGTGGTCAGAAGATCTCACCAGGGTCAGCATCAGCACTGCTCAGTCCAGCAAGTTGTGTGGGGTCCTGTCAGCCAGCATCTGCCCCCAGCCTGCCTGGCCTCCCCACCTGTAGTGTGTGTTCATCTCGTGGCCTGTGTCTCACAGCTTCTCACTCCCATGTCTGTGTCCACAGATGAGTTCGTGGTCGAGGGCCCCTCGGACCCTGTTGTGGCAGTGCTGGGTGCTGATGCCACACTGCCCTGCTTCCTGTTCCCACCCATGAGTGCAGTGACTATGGAACAGCGGGGGTTCCGCACCGAGTTCTCGGCAGTGGTGCAGAAGTGGTGCTCAGCTTTTGGGACCAACAGGAGCAGAAGGAGGAGCAGATGGCCCAGTACGCAGGGCGGGCCTCGCTGGTGAGGGACCTCCTTACCCAGGGGGAGGCTGCTGTGCGCATCCACAATGTCCGGGTTTCCGACAACGGGCTGTACACCTGCTCCTTTAGCAAGGGAGGCTTCTACGAGGCAGCCAACTTGGAACTGAAGGTGGCAGGTGGGTGACTTGATTTATATTCTAGAGTCTTGAGCACTGGATTTGGGAAGAACCTCAAATTAAGGGACATCCAACTCAGATCATTAATTTCTACTTGAGGAAAATGAGGCTCATTCATTTTATCACTTTATCGATATAAATATGTAGAATCACTAATTAAAGGGATTTCAAAAAGTTCAGGAAAATAGAATTAAAGCATGATTTTGTTTTGGTGCAAAAATAATTGAAATCCATGTATAGTGTTTATCTTTTTAATTGTTGAAGGGTGTGTGTGCTTGCCAGAGAGAGACGGAGAGACAGAGAAAGAGTAAGCACACCTCCCCACCCCCGCCATGTGGTGTGGTCACGCTGCAATCTCTTCTTCATTTCTCCATCCTGTCAGGATTTGGGGCACATCTATACATGAGTCTGGAGTGTTTTTTAAGTTGCTGAGGCCCGAATTCACACTGTGGTCATTCATGTGGAATCCTGCTCCCTTAAGCACTGGGCTACAGGGCCAGCCACATAGTTCTTTTCTTTTATTATATTAAATGATGTGCTGCTTTTATAAAAAATTAAAGATTTCCTATTTTATTCATCATTATTATTCTTACTGTTTAAAGTTTTCTAGAAGGCATATATGCTTTCTAGAAAGAGACAGAGAGAAAGAGAGGGAGAAAGTGAGAAACCAAGCAACCAGGTCTGGATGGATCTGGAACTACAGTCAGCCTTGGGAGAGTCCAGTGCCCCAGCCACCACAATACCACTGCCCCCATAATAATTTTCATAGTGCATATTTTTCATGAATTATTTGAAGATCCTCCTGTATGGACCAGTCATTGTTCTGGCACCTGGGATACAGCAGGAAGCAAATAAAGATCCTTGACTGTGGACGTTATGTTCTAGAGGCAGAGGTAGAAAGTCACAGTAAGTAAGTAGGGTGTGGACGATGCAGGAGGGAGACGAGAGCTTAGGACGGAAGACCAGGTAGGACAGGGAAGGGTCGGGGTGTGGTGGGGTGTGGGGAGGGTCAGTTACTCAGGGCCTCACTGAGCATCTGAACCAGGCTCCCAGGAAGGAGATGTTCAGCCGACAGCATCCCCGAGGGCCCAGAGCTCCTCACAGGGAGCACCCAGTGTGACGTCCCCGAGGTGGAGCACGGCTGGGGGTTCTGGGCACATTGGGGGCCCCTGTGGTTGGTGAGAGCAGTGAGGGGAGGGCAGGGAGAGGGGACGTCACTGGAGTAACGAGGCCTTCCTGGCACAGGGTACACTGAGGAGGGACTGAGTGACACCCCCGTGACAGTCAGGAAAGGTCACTGGGAGGAGACCCTCAGCTGGCACAGGGCTCACCAGGGATCTCCTGTGAGAAGGCCCGGAGACAGCGTGATGGTCGTGGCTCTTCCCAGGGAGCCAGATAGACCTGGGGCTGTAGTGTGCGGATCCCCAGGGGCACAGGCACAGAGTCTGGGAGGAGGGAGAGAGAAGGCTGGAGAAGAGGGCGGAGGCCAGATCGGGAAGGCGCTGTGTGCTGTGGTCGGGAGTTTGGGTGCAGAGCTGAGGAGACGTGGGCAGGGCGGGCTGGGAGTGCTAGGGTGAGTGGAGGGTGAACAGGAGGGGGGATGGAGCCTGACTATGAGGGGGAGAGGATGCCTCGCTGACCTCAGTCTGTGGTAGTGGGGCAGGAGAGTAGGGGACATCAGAGTTTTAGAAATTAGAATGAACCGAGTACTTAGATGTGAGGACACAGGGAGTTCAGAGGAGAAAAGGGGACTGAGGAGGCTTTCAGGGTTTTGCCTTAGCTGTTTGCTATCCCTGTATTGCTAATTACATGTGTTACCTATTTCCATAAGATTGGCCTGTAACAAATGACATAAAATGTTGGTGGCATACAGCAACAGAAATGTATTAAATTCAGGCACTAAGGACGTCCAGCCACTTTGGTTGGGCCTTGGATACACTCAACTGGGCTGACTCATATGTCTTTGGTCACGTTTGAGGGAACACAGTTAAAAACACAATCTTTTACCACTCCAGAAATCCTCGCCACAATGATAGTAGAGAATGAAAATACTTTTATATTTAAGAAGTGTCAGGACCAGCAGTTGGCATAACAGCTATGTAGCTGGACCCTCATATAGTCTATTGCGGTTCGAGTCCTGGACCTGGTGGCTTAAACTCATGCCAGGCTCACGTGTGTGCGTACCCAAGATCCAGAGAAGAGAATGGAGGAGAAGAGATTGCGGCGTGGCCATCCCTTGGGGAAGGGGGGGGTGATTTCTCGCTTTCTGTCTCTCTGTCTCTTTTTGTCTCTCCAGCGAGTGCACACGCCCTATAGCAAAAACCTCTCAAAACAAAACAAAAACAAAAACAAAACTCTAAAAGTATCAAACCAGCATGTGATACACATCACAGGCATTTTTTTTTTAAGCAAAAAAATGAAAAAGACAAAAGGAAATCTCATCTTTTTTATAGCCAAGTTCCTATAACCCATTATATTGGGTCATCGGAAAAGTCATGATGCATTTTTTTGTATAGAAAAACATAGAAGAAGGAGGTGAGGGCTCTGCTGGGTTGGGGGCACAATTCCACGTTCTCTTGCAGCCCATTGAAACCACTGGTGGGTGCTGGCTGCAAAGACAAGACTTAAAGCCTATCTTGGGTAGAGAATATTTAATCATTTAGCTAAAAATGTTATTTTTCATGTGTAATGGATGTGGTGTATCAGTGAAGAAAACACAAGTGGAAAAGCATGTATTTGCCGAAACCGTGAATGCCTTTCTTGCATGGACTGTGGTAAAGATTTCTGGGGCGATGACTATAAAAACCATGTGAAATGCCTAAGTGAAAATCAGAAATATGCTGGCGAAGGCTATGAGGGTAAAACCTACAAAAGTGATGTTGAACAGCAGGCACGGATTCAGAAAATTAGTGAATTAATAAGAGACCCAATGTCAGCCCCAAAGTGTGAAAATTTTAAGAGCAAATTAGTGCTTTTGACAATGTTCCCAGGAAAAAGGCAAAATTTCAGAATTGGAAGAATTTTTTTTTAAGAATTACTTATTTAATTTTAGTTATCATTATTATTATTTTTAATTTGACCAGAGAGAGAGGGAAAGTGAGAAATCAAGCCACTAGGTACAAGACTTGAACTGCAGTCAGCCATGTGGGAGTCCACCACACCACCTGCTGGCCCCATGAAGAACAGTTCTAAAGTTCAACAAGCCAATGTGTTTTCTTTCTTTCTTTTCAATTTGTTAGAGGGCATGTTTACTTGCCAGAGAGAGACAAAGAGACAGAGATGGAGGGAGAGGGAGACATGTAGATGGGCCTGGCATGTTTTTCCAGCCGCTAGGTCTGGGACTTGAACCATATTGTGGGATCCACCTCCCTTCACTATCAGGCCATGGGCGGGCCCTATAAACACGTTTTCAAGATACATAATACCTGGTCGTCAAGT